GCTTCCTGCAACTGGCTACCTGCCTGTGAATTGATTCTCTGCTGTATCCTCTTGACACCCACAGAATGATAAACTCATCTCTTACTATTCTTTTATAGATCATGACTGTGAACTGGTTTGAATTCACTTGAGCTAAAAAAAGCCACCACAACAAGCAAAAACTGTTGGTTTTGTAAGATTGGTTCTCAGAGAAGGCACCTTTTTGGTAAAGCTGATTAGACCAGATCCCTGGTTATGAATTTCTGTTAAAAGTAAGGTGTAATTCACCTCAACAAATGAGAACAATTTCTAACAGTGTGATTACAATCTGGAGAGATATCTCAAAGGGCTGGGGGACAAGGATGAAATGAAATTTGCCTATGCATGTTGGAAAAAGGTTGAAGAGCTGACCTTTTCCCAGGTACAATTTTTATCTACAAATCTAAAATAACAAAGGGACTTGCTGATTCAAATTGTAGTGCCCATATCTCCCAGCATTTGATTTACACACAAAGCTGCCTTAGCCATAATGTTTTTAGTGAAATGGCAGAGCTTTTTTCAGACCTCATGTTTGCCATTGCGTGTGCTCCAATCACTATGTAGTGTGGTTTATCTCATCTCTCTGTCCTTTGCTTTATTCTGCACTGCATATGCAGCCCTAGACCTCCCTTTCTCTCTCTCTTCCACTGAATATTTGAGTTCATGGTGATTTTTGCAGGTACAATAACTGTATTTTTCACATTTTGAAACTCAGCTGTCTCCAGATCTCCATAAATCTGTTCTTATTTGACACTGAGGTTTATTGTTACTTTCAATTTAATTTGGCTGCAAACATTAATGTACCATTTCATAATAATAAGTATGATGGAGATATTGAAGATAAAAAAGAAGTGGGCAGATAACAACATTTATGGCACAAGGATTTTATGGGGAGGGATTTCCTTGTCTTGGGTTACCCTGTTCCCAGTTCAAGGCAGCCCTGACAGCATGCAGAACTTGAATGCAGATCTCACATCTGATGACAAATGGCTCCTTAATGATGTGTTAAAGGAAGTGTGTGTAACCCTAATTCAATTAGCATATTATCTCCTTTTTTAACATGAAATTTCATTCTAGTACTAAAGAAAATCAGATTTTCTGTTCACAATGCTTTTTTCTCACCTGAAGACATTTGGCAAATGCATAAACTAAGCTTTGAAAAACTTCAGAGGTAAAACTTTTAATCAAAGACAAATGAATAACATTGATGCATTTTGGCTCATACTCCAGGATTACAATTGCTTAGATGAGCATCTTTTTTTAGTCTCCCAAGTTATGTCTCAGCAGACACTTGGTCAGGGCACTCTCTGAAAGAAGAGCAAATTGTTCAAATGGAAAATGTAAGATTATGACAATAAATATTCAAGATGAAGATAAATATGAAACTACTTTGATTCTGAGTGTTGCAGAACTTTCACACAGCCATAGTGTGTCAGGAAGAAGTTTACCCAGTCTCTTGTTCCATTTCTGACAGCACATGATAGCAGATGTGTTAGAAAAGTCTGTGAGAACAGGACAAACCAGAAACACTGTACTGGTATCAAACAACCCTGAAGTTATTTTCCTGCTGAAAATCTATCCAACTGCTTTTTGAACAGAAATAAATGGTTAGTACAAATCCCGTTATGAGGCACATCTTACCAACAAGGCATGTGCAGTGCAACCCCCTCTGGCTCTTCTGACCCATCTCACTTTTGGTTGCGTTTGACACGTGCCAGCCCTTCCACTGGAGACACAGCAAACCTTTCCTGTTCTCTCACCTCCTGCTTGCCCAAGAGTTTCTAGACTTCCTCAAAAGTACAGAAATAGTTTCCCCAAATGTGTATGCTGGTGCAGCAGATAATATTTTTTTTCCCAAATCTAATTCCATAAATGTCAGGTTCCCGCATTACATGCTGTAGATTCACAGGGGTCATACCCTGAAGCATCAACAGGGACAGTTTAGCCTGGGTCTTTGGCACAAACCTGTTTCCCAAACAACTTGTTTGAAGAGAAGAGAAAAAAAATCAACTCTTGCTTTTAGTCTTTGGGTGGATGCAAAATCTACAAACTTCTGCACAAGGCTCTCTTTGTCTCCAGTGTCTGCTTTTTCCTTTTGCCAGTGTAAATAGCTTCCCTAGAGTTTGGCACATAGCCTGCTTATGGTTGTGGCACTAATATTGCTGCCCAGGAGAGCTCCATCATGAAACAGAAAAAACCACAAGAAAAAATTAGCAGAGGATCCTGGTGTCAGACAACTTGCCAATATTTTCCTTAACTGTAACTTAGCAGAGCTGAGTGAGCACCATGTAATGTTAGGCAGCTCTCTCATATACAGCAACATGGAATATTTTAGGTTTTCTGGATTGGCACACTCCTGCTATCCTGCAAATATGAAACAAAGCAACACTTCTGCAGATCTGTGACATGAACTCACTTTTCCCCGAAGGAATCACAGTGCTTTAAAAAGTAATACACCCATTTGCACATCTTTCTCTGGAATAGACAACCTATGACCTAATTTCAAAACCTTCCAAACTGTATTATTAAGGATGACAGTTCTACCTCAACTCAGAGACCTGAGGCTGTGGCTGACACTGGTTATAAAATAAAAAAAAAGATGTAGTGGGAAGGTTAATCTCTATAATTAAAGGAGTTGTTACACCACTCAGCCATCAGCAGCAGGGCGTACACCTTTCAGCCTGGCAGCTCTTGGATGGCGCAAGGCAGACACGTGCCGTCGGGCTGTAACCGGTGGGCGACCAAGTGATGACAGATGGTGGACAGGAGGGAAAGCAGCACTTGAAGGGGCCAGAAGGGAATGGGAAGGGCTGTGGACAGGGAACTAGGGAAGTCAGTTGAGTAACTGACCATCTGGGCCAACCAGAACTGCTGCCATCCCTGTCATCAAACCAGTGCCCTGGGATCACTTCAGCTCTTTCCCTATAACCTGCAAATTTCTGCACTGCCAGAGGTCAGTCAGTCCAGGACCTGGAGGTCTGTAACCCTGGACAGTTACTGAGAGAAGGATCTTTGGAAGGGGAAACAGTGTTGTTTTCTGTATCGGAAACAGTCTCAAGCTTCCCAAAGGAGTGGAGGAAGAGCTAAGTTAATTTTATCAGATTTCCTGTTTGTTTGCCTTCCTCCATCATCTGTCTTCAAATCTTTACAGGAATACATGAGTGTAAATCAGTACTGTAGGTCACTAGCCCAGAAAACTGTCTCACTGCTTGACCCATGTGGACTAATCCATATAGGAGGCTGCGCACACCAAACTGGCTCCACTGGTCTGGAACAGCAAAACTACTGTGCCAGATTGTCTGGAAGCTCAGTCAGCCAAAGGTAAAGCTGGGGATCTCCTGCTCTTCAGCCAGATTTTCTAGTAGATTCTTCAAAAGCAAATGTGCTTCTTTGTACTGTAGGGGGCTGGTGGACGGGGTCCTGGAGTGGCTGAAATGGGCAGTACATTGCCAGTTCTTCCACCTCGTGCTGCTCCTGAGCCCTGCCGAGTCGTGGGGAAGCCATCTCTCAACAGGACTGAGCACAGTCTCACTGGATTTACTGTTCCAGCCCTTGAACACAACCAGCTTCACACACATCTTATGATTAAGCTTCTTCAGCGAGTGGCAAGATGACAAGTGGAGTGGGCCAAGGCAGTGAGAGGCACCACCTCTAGCAAGGTTAGTGGAGAGGAGCAGGTGTGGGATGGCAGGGTGGAGGATAAGTGCAGACAAAGGTGGAAAGGAGGCTGAGCAGAAGTGTGTAGGCCCTGGAACCCTGTTTGATACGTTGTGTGGAGTAACAGGCTGGATTATTTATTACAGCTATTGCTTTTGTGAAACCTATTGCTGCCCTAATTTCCCTTCCAGCCCAGTAAACCTGCCAATACTGGATTGTGCTGGAGCAGACCACAGCCAGAGCTACAAGGCACACCAGGATCTGGTTAGGCTCAGCCTGATTTTCAGTAGTTCTCACTTTTTTGCGGTAACATTCTCCTCCATTATTAAATTCAGGGAGTTCAGATGTAGCACAGTGATTTAATTACAAATACTTTCTATTCCAACATAAAAGCACTTTTGGTCCTCAATACAAATTCAATGCTAAGTTTACTGCAGTGTTTACAGGCAGCTCTACTCAACTCCAACATCTGAATCCTTTCCAAAAGTGATTTGCATTCGAGAATTCTGCAGCACCTTGCCTTAACAAAGCTACAGTTGAATTTGGCTGTCACCTCCAGCTGTATGCTCAAACTGTCTTGGTCTTGAGCTGAATCAGTGCCAATGAACAGCTACATTAAGTGATAGATATTTTTGAATTCCTACATCACATTATCATTTATATCTTTTCTTACATTAGGTCACTTACAGTGTGCCCTCCATGGTTATTGTGCTCTTCTTTCCATGATCTGGAGCCATAAAGAACAAATATATCAGATTTTCCAAACTCCTTCCTGAAAACACACTGGTGATTGTTTTCAGCTCAGGATGGATTCCTCGACTAATACTTGTGCAGAAAAAAGGAGACAGAATCTTGATGTCATCACATCAAGGTGAATCTTGAAATAGAGTTTATAAGGATAAAGGGTAGGTGGGAGCAGGAACTGAAACTGGTGAAGAGGATTAGAAAGAAATTGAATGGGGAGCAGGAAATGTGGTATGGATTGTAACGAAAGAAGAAAAGAGCCCAGAGAAAATGAGGAATATCTGAGTGTTTAGATAGCCCCTAGAGGCTGCCTTCCAAAGTCTCTATGTCCCTCTGCTGTGGAGTTACCAGTGAAACCCTCTGGCGAAGTGACTCTCTCATCTCACATTTATACCTCTTCCAAGTAGGATTGATAATGAGCATGTTTCTACATCCTTAAAAATAAAATAAACAACAAAACAAATAACAACAAAACAACTAACAAATCATTTGGCAATATATTATAACCATGATCAGGCTGCAAAGTCACACATTCACATTGCTAGTAAACACCAAACTTAAGTTTCTTTCTTCAGCTTTAGGATGAGTCTTTTTACCTTGTGCGTGGAAAATACTTAACATCAAATTCAAACATGAATTACCCACATTCTAATGTGTTTCCTGGAATTTGGGTGTTGGTTTGGTTTTGTTGTTGTTTTTTTTTATTTGCAACATGTCAACAAATTAAAGTGTCTAAGTTCAGGACACTAAAACCAAAACAGGGCTTTAAAAGGGTGTTTTTCAGAGTCAAATTACATGAGGTTATCAGACCACTCACAGGAATGGAACCTACTCAGCTCTTGCTGAGATCCTCTGTTGAATTTTACTGAGGACTGAGCATGAGGATGGTTTTGCTTGGCCAGGACAGGGGACACAGCATGTTGGCTTCAGCTGGGAACCTTAGCATCTGGCATCACTTGCTCTCTGACAGGAGAAATTGGTTAAGATCATTGCGAGAATATCTGTGACTTTCACAAAGACCAGACCAAAAGTACTGACGGTCTGGATCATGGCTTGCATCCACTTTCTGAGTAGCTCTGGGATAGACTAATATCAATATCCTGGCTAGTAGAAGGAGGTTTATACATTGAGAGGAAATTCACAGAGGTAAAGGTGGCTGTCTCGTGCTGGTCTGTGACTGCTGCAGCCTAGCGTGGAATGGCACAAACCCTGTATGGGTGGGGCTGCAGGGTACCCCCCAGAATGGGCTCTGTGTTGATCTCTGTCACTCCCTCGGGGAGCTGGAAGGTGAAAGCCCGCAGCAGGTTGGCAAAGAAAATAAAGAGCTCGGTCCTCGCTAGGTGCTCCCCCAAACACACACGGTGCCCTGCAGAGGGAAGAGGGGAAGGATAGTGAGTATCTAGGAATTTTTCAGCTTCATAGTCACTTAGTTCATTCTTGTTGCAAGCAGAGAGTGTTTTTTTTGTTGTCTAAGGACAGGATCATGAAAGCCACAGAATTAGAACTATGTGAATGCCTTCTCAAAAAGATCTGATCCAATGTCATAGCTTAGGAGATACCAAGAGAAAATTTCAATGAAAATCACTAATGTACAAATATAATTTCTTTCTAGACCTGATAGAACATTATTTTCTTGTTACAGGAGATGTTGAGCTCCAGGGTCATACGCAAAGAATCTGCCAGCTGCTTGCACATGCTTTCTTAGTGAGTTAACATCAGTGGATCAAAATTACTTGGCATTTGCAGTTGAACAGAGGTTTGGTCACTTCATAGGCAAAGCATGAGGCCGACTATTCCTTTCCCAGGGTTCTTCATTGGCACCGATGGTGTGAGCAGAACAGGTGAATAATACATTCACATTTCCAGATTAGCAGACAAATAAAAGGAAATAAATACCATTTTCATTAAGAAACTGCTGGATGGACATCTAAGTGACTGGTCTGTTATATCAACAGAGAAACTAAAACAAAACCATCAATAGGAACCTTACTGCTATGTGTGATTGCTAACTGTGTGTGCATTGCTATCTTATTTCCTTCTTTGGCAACTGGATTTTCAGTTCTGTAAGAAAGAACTTAATCTTTTGTTTATCAGGATGCATTCTGTTTTTCTTTCATCTTGATCCTTTAAAAGGGATTGCAAGTAACTCCAGTACAAACAAGGCACATTGCTTCTCAGGAATGTAACTACGTATAAAGAATACTACAGACAAAACCTGTGTATGACTGCAGCATGCAACCAGCCCAGTTTGAGTGGGATTCCCACCACAGAGTCCTAAGGACAGTTTGGGGTCTGATGGCACAGAAGCCTCTCACTTGGCAGAAACAAGCCAGTACTGTTCTTTAAAAGCAACAGCAGAGATAGATGATGTTATCTGAAGAAATACCATAATCTCACACTTCTATGTTCTTCCTTTTATCTATTGGATCAGTTCAAACTACCAATGCATTTACCTGCTGAGAATGGTAAGAAAGCTTCTCGAGGGATAAAGTTTCCTTCTTTATCCAGAAAATGGCCAGGGTTGAACTGTCGAGGTGTCTCCCATTGCTCAGGGTCATACAGAACAGATCCTATATTTGGTATAACGATGGTGCCCTGCAAAGAAGAAACTGTTGATTCCATTCCAACTACTGGCCTGTCACCCATCAGTTTCTTCCTGACAGAAAAAACTGTTGCTTGTTGTCATTTGGGCAAGTGCCAAGTTGAGCAGAGGTCTCTTGATCAGTGCTTTGGCAAAACAGTTTATCCTCCTAGTCCATCCCCAGCCAAGCAGAGCTGGTGTCTGCAGTTGTGATGATGGGCAGGAGCTCAAGGTTTCCCTGGTAGGGGCCTTATCAGCTGTCTGAGCACCTACACATTAAGTAAAGGACTAATTTGTGTAGCCACAAATAGTAACCCTTCCCCAGGCACCACATTCCTGAGTTAAATGAAGAATATTTTATAGACTGAAAATGGGTGACAAAACTGAAATGAAAGATAAATAAATGCCTCTCTGCTGAAGAAAGAACAGAAGCTGAAAATGTGTCTGTACCCTTTTGACAGGGAATCCTAGCAGTGTTGTGTTCCTCACACACAGCCTGGGCAGGCCCACAAAGACAATGTTGCTGAAGCGCTGAATCTCATGGACCACAGCATTTGTGTAGGGCAGTTTTCTCCGGTCCTCATAGCAAATTAACTGGGAAGGACCCAGAACAGCATCCAGCTCCTTCTGCACTTTCTCTGTGGAGAAATATTCACAACTTCAGATGAGAAAATGTATAAAATATTTTAACTGGTCTCTTAGAGCAACAGGAAAATATATTCTTTCAACATAGTACATTAGGTCTATAATTTGTGATTTAATATGTTTTAATGCCTGAGTTTAATATAGGATAATAAAAATATACAGGAAAAACCCACCAACAGTGTGGTCCAGGAACACACTGGAGGGATGTAAGGGGTCCAGTGGTTTGTGAAGAGCACTGGTGTGCTCAGCAAGGAGAGTTGGGTTTGCTGCCTCACAGGAGGGGCAGTGAACATAGGCTGCCATAAATATGAGATGAGACTGTATGGCAAACACCACAAAGCTATGTTAGCATTCCTCATACCTGAATGGTGTCAGGTGCAGATGGGATTCAGAGCTTTGATCTCTGTACCTGCTGCCATCAGTCACTTGCAAACTCTCCACACAGAGCACCTCGCTGACTTGTCACTGCCAAGAGCTAACTTTGGTCTCACTGCAAGTGCCTTCAGCCGCTTGACTTGGTCAGGTCACAGCATGGGTCTCTGACTTTTCTCTCTGCTGCCATTCTTTGTGTTTTCAGAGAGTGAGAGCCACGCTGCAGCTCATCCTATTCAGCCATCATTAACATTTGTAGTACCCACAGCATTTCACAACAAGAATCCCTCTCACCTTGGATATCTGGATTCACGACCATATAGAGCAGTCCCCAGTACAATGTTGTGCTTGAGGTCTCTGATCCGCCGAGGAAAAGATCATTTATGACATGGACCAAATTGTCTTCATCATACTTGGGCTTGACCCCTTCTTTTGACTGCAGATGATGATAAAAAGTTGAAGTTAAAGCATAAAAGTTAGGTCAATTTATATGCCCTCTGTGTGAGAGTCCTTATTTCCACAGCCAGCATGTGCAAAAGAATAGTCAAAATTACAGTTTTTGATGAGTAGTTTAGTAGTTTCTCAAATAGACATGGTAAGTCTGCCTTGCCATCTTTCATGAGGTGGAATATTCTTTCATTTAAAAAAGACAATTCTATGTCTGATGACTTAATCATGAAAACTTTAAAGCACAGTACAAGTTTTGCAGTTAGATTAGAGTGTGCTTCTATACAAATGCCCTACAGCATGCCACTCTTCAGGCCTTGGTCTCCAATATGCTATCAAAGGGTGCTAGAAAATACCAAAGGAAATCCCATCTGAATAAAAGAATCTCAAGAGAACACCTTGAAAGTAATTTCTTTTCTGAGTTCAGGATAAATGTGAACTGAGGGGGAGAGGTATTTTCTACTGAATAATAAGGGAGTAAAATAAAAATATTTTAGAGAAAAAAAATTAGACAAAACATTTTAAAATAATGCAATAAATATTGCAATAAATCACACCCCTGACACCAGAGGAAGTTGCATCTTTGCCTCTAAAATGCTTATTTTAGCAAATCTTGTCATAGTCAATTCAGATATAAAGTGTAAGATGATGCATCAGCTCCTTTCAGAGCCTCTGAGCCAACACTGTGAGGACATGGCAGCCTGATTAGCTGAAAGCTTATGACCAGATATAGAAGCTACATAAACTTCATCTACCCTAGGAAAGAGATGCTTCTTTTACTTCCCAAAAGTACCCCAAAATGACAAAGTTTGAAGCAGAAACTGGTACTCTTAGCAGAGCCTCTCTGGCTCATGAGCCACTTCCTACTATGGAAAACAATAGCCTGCGCAGGGAAGAAGATTAATGCTTATTATGGCCCTGTTTGTGAAATTGTTTCCTAAGAATCCAATTAGAATATAGGTGCCAAGCCAACCACGACTCAAACTGTGGGGAAATTAGAGGTAACACAGGGATAATGATTCCCTGCCAAGGGAGGAACCATACAATTACGTGGCACGAGGACAGCCAGTGTTAGAGCACACACTGAATCCCAAGGAAACGTTTTCCTCTGTTTCAGGGCAATTACCTGCGTATGCATATTTAAATCCATTGTACACATGAGGTGCCTTGCTATAGAAGATGAGGTGGTTTCTACCTAACTTATGTAACCTACAGGAATAAACTGTCTCATATTTACTACAGGATTGAAGTATGCACATGGATATTTATGGAAAGCAGATGATAGCTCATGAGTTCACCCCCTGACATACTGGGCCTTATACTCCATAAATGTGTGATCCCACAGAACAAACACTTACTTTCTCCATCTCAGCCAGGTAAAAGTCAATGAAATCCTGTGGCTCAGCTGGTATCCCTCTCTCCACATGTCTTCTGACCTCCTTTCTTGCAAAAGAACTCAGGACATCATAGCAAGCCAATGCCTTCTTATGAGGCCCAGGGAGACGGCACATCAGCCAAGGGAGGATTTCGTACATCTGCAGGAGTGACACGCAAGAGGTAGTGTGAATTCTCTGTCACTAACAAAGCTACTTTTGGAAACACCAAAAGGCTGAATTGTCCTGTCCAGAAATGTTGATAGCAGAATAAACAAATTAGTATTGCTTTGAGCAGGTTTTTGCCATCACGTAGTAAAACTTTTCTAGTGATTTGACACAATCTCAGGGGTCGAGGCAGTTCTGATGACACTCTGCTCATGCCCCTAAGATTTGCAGAAAAGCTTTACTACCACAACAGCATTTTAGTTTGCCTTATTCTGTAAAATTCAAATGTCAATGGAATTTGCCTGGCCGTCCACATTCCCCATTACATGCAGCTTGACCATCTTTAAGGATCTAAACCACAAAGTCTAATTCATGGGGAAAACTTCAAGTGCGCTTCAAGACCCTTCAAGTGCAAAGTTGCCCTATATGGTATGTTGTGGGAAGTACCTAACAAAAAAAATCTTTGACAGAACTTGAATTGTGAGACTGTCAGAGAATGTATGTATTGTTTTTGCAATGTGTGAATTCAGAGCTATTATGAAGTAAGGGGAAAATTCATAATGAATATTTTATTATTTGTGAGGGAGGAAAAAGCAAAGAAAATTTTTAGCATACAATTTGCAGAGTAGTAAAAAGCAGAACAGTGAATTCAATGATACCAATTTTTGGAGGAGAGAAGTAAGTAGAGGTGGGAGGAGAAGCACTGTAGAGTTCATATTTATTACAAACTCCAGTCTCAAATTAGATTTAAAGGTTTCTGTTAATAGTCTTAGAAATGCTGAAGGACTTAAAAACCAGGAGTCAACAGAGAGTCAACCCCTAAACTTGCAAAGAAACAAGAGAGTTCTTAAAAATGTCCTCATGCCAAGGAGGCAGTAATAAGGTCCCCAGGACACCACTTCTCTCCCAACTTGCATTTGCCTGTAGCTCTGTGTTTAGTGAAGAGCCATTTTTGTATCTGCTCTTTCATTTTCTACCTACTTCAGAAAAAAACAGCATATCATTTACTCACCTGATGAAAAAAGCTGCCTGCAAATTTGAATAAATTCTCTGTGGCATGGATCATTTCATGGAAGGTTTTGTCCTCATCAGAGAAGTGATATCCAAAAACTAGAGCACAAATCACATTTGAAATAGAATGGAAAAGAGGGAAAGAAGGATCCACAGGTCTTCCTGCAAACAGAGTAACAGATATTCACTCTCAGTGTTTTCTTCAAGTGTTCCTTATACAGATAGGACAAAGTGTTTTTAGAGATTACATAAAATGTTCTCTTTATACAGCTGGGGCATGAATGGGGACAGAAATTTGGCACTAATATGAATTAATGGAAATAAAACATAGCCTTAGAGCAAAGGACACTGTTAAACTGTTTCCTCTAAAACAATCTCAAACCCCTTTCTGTGAAATAATGTTGTACAACTAAGATCTGTTCCAGGATCTCATATCAAATCTGCTGTCCTCGTTGTCTGGAGGAAGACAAGTCACCGAGTGAGAAGAAAGAAATGTCACTCGAGATAACTGCAGGAATTCAGTGACAGATGTTCAAAAATGTCAAATAATTACTTAGGAGGAAAGACTGAATGAACTTGGGAAGGTTTAAGAAGAAGAATAGTTGGACAGGAATCTGCAAAGTATACATAATGAAACTATTACAGCCTCAACTGTGAGCAGTAGATTATCATATCTCTGTCTGATAACTTTTTTAAAGTTATGAGACAGATATCCATAGAAAGTAACTTGGGTAGAAATGATCCTGGCTTGGACTCTAGGGTTAATCTGATTATCCACCGAAGTTCCCTCCCATCTCCTACTTTCTTTGATTCTCTTGCCAGTAGTTACTAAACCAGACAGACTAAAATATCAATGGCACCCAATGTCATTGAAATTACCAAGCTCTGCAATACTCTTCAGTTACCTGTTGCAGGCAGCCCGAGGATGGCTTGGCTGTGCAATTCAGTGGCATCCTGTCATTGTACAATCATGTTATAGACAAACAGTCAGCCCATGGAGGTGGAATCTCAGAAGTTCACAACTTCACTGGGTTTATGAATAGCAATTTTAGAAAGAAATTCCCATTTCTGATTCTATGCTCTATCTGCTCTTAGGCTTTAGTAAGTTTGGATACACCACTGTGGATCTAACCTGGACCGTAGAAGGGGTAGGTAAGTTTGCATACTGAAGATCCAGACTGAAAAGTGCTTGGTTTCTTAGCAGACAGTTACCTTTTAGGTTCATAAAAAACTCCACCAGGTGAGAGGCCTCCTCTTGCACTCGATGCTCCAGGCCTTTCTTTCCCATTCCCAAACTGCGTAGAGTCATTATTCCAAAGCGTCTCTGCTGCTTCCAGGAGCGACCAGTTGCCAATATAATACCTGAGGGTATTCCCCGGCATATTAATATTTGCCACAGACATGCATGATTCATTTAAATATATATTATAAAATGATTGGAATAAAGCAGGGAATACACTGTGATACAAATATCTTTAGGTGAAATTATCGGTAACCAGAAATCGTAGCCAAGCATACCCAAACTATAGCTAGGCCACATCGTCTTAATATTGATTGTAGTTCACAACTGAAAAGAGCAGTCTAAGGATTTTCTGACTGCTCCATTTCTTGATATCTTGAAAAAAAAAAAGAATACCTTAAGATGCCTTTTTAGGAAATGTGCCTTAGCCATAGTCAAGTGATCGTGCTCAGGACAGGAGTAACTGGATGAATTTCCACAGAGTGGAGTACAGGGCAGGGTACGTTTATGAAGGTGTAGATCAATTAATGTGATGGTTGTAGGTTGAGGTGATGAAGGTGAAGGAAAAGTGACATTTGGGCTCTGTTTCTCCTGTGGAAGAGAGAACACTCCACTAATTGTTAAATTGCACTTGTGGTCACCTGAAGAGCTGTGATGGTGAGGCTTTACCTACCTTTAAACAAGGTAGTGTGTCTGCTTTAGTATAGCAAATGCAGGGAAGGGAAGGGAAAAAACTGCAAACTGATGGAATACACCAAGAAGAACTGAGTTTTCCTGTGTCAGAGGCACTCTCATAGTCAAAGGATATTCAAAAAATGTTTAGGAGTGTCTGCAAATACAGCAATGCGAATTCTGAAAGAGGGTTTTATAGGTCTCTTGCTCATGATGGAAAATATTTGGTAACTATAATGTATACAGTTACCAAACAAGCGTTGCATTCACATGATGTACAGCAAAATCGTATGCAGAACAATGGATTAGTCTGTGATGAGGGCAAGATTGCTGAGTTCTGAGCTGGATCATATACATACATCTTGAATACCATGAAAAGGTCGCTTAGAAACAACCTGGAGTGTTTCCCAGGATTGGGAAAACTCACTAAAAAAAGCATCACATCAAATAGTAAGTTATTCTCAAGAAGTAATGGAGGACTTGGACTGTATCTGATGGAAGATCATTCTGAACAGGAGGGCAGAATAATCTGTCAAGTCAACATTCCTGTGCACTGTTTGTGGCAGGAAAATCTCACCTTTTCCTTTGGCCATTGCCCTGAAGAAAGGCGACACCATCCGCCCAGAAACATCATCAGGGTGCGTGGTCATGCCATCCTTCACTGCTTGAAATCCATTCAGTATGATCACTGGGGTCCACCCAAACCACAAAGTATATATGTTACCATGAGTTTTTGCCAGCTGTAAGTGGAAAAGGTGCCAGGAAAGAACAGATGAAGTCCCATATATACATCTCAAACAGACACTGCACCAGTTATTCACCAATGGACAGTTTTGTGCTGAAAATGTCATCCCCGTGCTTATAATTGTAGATAGAAGCAGAAAGAGACTGTTGTTTTGCTGAGAACAGTGCTTTCAGCAGCCAATTTTATTTACTCTGGGGAAAGCGATTTTCTTTTTAAAGCATAGCCTGCAGCAACACTGCAGCAAGAGAAAGAAAACTTTGTGCTTTATGTTGCATCACATCCAACCCCAACATTTGAACCTTGTTGATCTGAACAGCCACACTGCACGGCTCTGGGGCTCTGTGCCTCCAGTGGTCCCTTCCTTTGCAAAAGGAAACCAGCTGATTAAGCCTGCACTATCTGTGTGCTCCAGGAGAGGACATGGAGCCAGAAACTAGTCAACAGCTATGAAGTGCCAGCAGGCTGCAGCCGAGTCCAGGGTTTCGTCACAGCACTGAGGAGAGCACTCACCACTGGACACAGCAAAGGTATCCAAGCACAGATGGGTGTATGACAGAGGAAATCCAATAATTCATGGAAAAACCTTTGTACAAGTATGGGATTCTGCTCCAGCACACCCACAATGATACAAAAGAGATGGTTCAGTGTCTAAGGTGCCACTAGAATTACATCCAGCTGATCACACCAGTCACTTGCTTCTCCTAATAATTCTTTAGATTCCAGCTTTCCTCTCCCTCTTAGAGCATCACTGCCTGTCTAAGTCTGCTCTGCACTCAATGATCTGTGTGTGGTGTCCTAGGCATACACCTGAATTAGAGGTCTTCTGTAAACCATTAGAAGAATTACTGCAGCTGTCACTAAAAGCAAGTGGCAAACAGATAGCTTTCAGGAGGTGTAGGAAGATGGGGAGTGAATGCCCTTCCTGTACTATAAGCATACATAGACATTCAACATATTGCCCCTTTGTGATCAAATTAGGCAATGCCAGTCAGAATTTTTAAAAATATCACATGTGGACTTATCAGCAGTGCAGAAACATATTTTAGAAAATTGGTATTTCCCAATTTTAATAACAAGCCAGAAACCATGTCCCCAAGTTTACTTGATTCTTAAGAACATTAGGATTCTCATGAAGATGACATATTCTACACAAGAAGGTGACCCAAATATAGGAATCAAGTTGATCTTTCTATGTCCATACCTTGTCTGTAACTTTCTAAGACTTAAAAGCTTCAGTTTGATTAATAACATATCAGGCTTTTTAAATCTGTGACTAAAAATGACCAATTAATAGCATCTTAAAAGAAATACCTCCATCAGAATATCCCGGTGAAACTGAAAGTTCAGGTGCACCAAGTTTCCAAGCAATGGGAGAGGAGTGGGTCCAGGAGGGAATTGCTTGCAAGCCTTCCGCAGTTTGAAAAACTGAACAATTAACAAAAAAATTATCAGGACTACAAAAGCTTGAGCTATTGTCGGCATTTCTGAGCTGATTTATCAGCTTGTCTGTCAAAAAGAAGGCGCTGGATCTTGGAAAAGGTGATCTTCTTTGTTGTTCCACCAGTTCTGCAGACTGAGTTCTATAAAGTCTCAATTCCCTTCCCTCCCTCTGTCCCTCCCTCTTCGTCGCTGCCTGCCTTTTTCTTGCACCATATATATTTGCCACACTGAGATATATCAAACTGATCCCTAACCAAAAGCACACCTATCTGCTTATAGCAAGCCTTAGAATGGAAATGTGAATAACTTGTACCCAAAGTATTTGTCCAGAAGCTTGTGCTAGGGAACTTCTGGAGCCTATTGGGAGATCGGGATTGGAGTGACACCATGTGAAAGCCCTCGTTGACCAGTGGATATGAGACAAGTGAAACTTGGTTTCATCTGCTTCAGGAACTTTAAAAATATATATATAGTGGTTCATCTCAGAATCACTGAATTCAGATTATGAGTGTTACACGTTGATTAGATTATACAGTTACATAGAATACAGTTACAATAGCTCATAGTACATACTTAAAATAGGTTAGATTGGATACATACATATACTTACAATAGGTTAGATTTTCCAGGTGCTTTAGTCACAAATGTTATTTAAATGTGGTTGTAAATTCAGATTTGCCTGCCAGCACACACAGTCCACACAGGCAAAGACAAGAGTACTTGAAGACTAAGGATGCAGTTAGAAGACAAAATTACTACACGTGATTTCTGAAAAATTGGTCTTGATTGTCCAATCAAACTTTTTTTTCCAGTAAATGGAAAAAATGTTTCATCAAGTGAGCACTCAGGATAAGGAGATAGTACTTAAAAACTCGTATTACAATTAAATAATTTTAAAAATCAAAATGTTTAATATTTTTATATTTAAAGATTAATTAAAAATAAAATTCCTTTTTTTTTTTTTTTGGTAATACGTAACCAAATTGAAAGCTTCACGTGCCCTGGTTAGTTTTCTACCTTTTGTATCAATTTCAGAATCTAGGATATTATTACCAGTTATCAATAAGTTTACAGGACACATAAAAAAAATCTGTCCTCTGATAATGAAGGGATTCACACTGAATTTGAAGCACAGACAGGGGGAAAGCACTGTGTGCCAATTACCAGAGGATTTGATCTTGCATTGCAAAGAGAGAGTGTTGTCTCTAAAATTTAGATACAAGTCTGAACAAGACATTGCTGTGCCCTCCAACGCAGACAGAAATGTGCTATTTTGCAAACCTGGCAACATGAAGAAAGTCATGTGAATCAGCAATAGCAATTTATCTCTTTCATTTGGCCAAACTTTGAAGCTATTGTGGGTTCATACTTGCCTGCATGATACAGTGAGGACAGCATGGGCAAGTAGTCTTTCATGACCTTATCTGTGCCTGTTGTGGGCAGCATGGTGGGATGTAGGCTGAGGTGGGCTCCATGGCTTTGCTGAAACCAGTGCAAGTCAGGTACCATTGCCCATTATGAGGCTGAAATAAGCAAAGCATAAAATCAGAAAAAATTGTTTCTTCAAACCAAAATATCAAGTTTAAAATTTGGAAAGAAAGGAAGAACGTTAGTTTTGTGTGGACAACTGAAGTCAGAAGAAATGCTGAATTACATAAATTTCATTAATAGACTAAATACAATCATTTTTATCTCTTCTCTGTTTGGTCCGTATTACATTGTTTAATTTTAGATGTTTCATGTTGGTGTAATATTTTGATGTCAGTAAATGAATTCACCTCTTTCAGAACATGGGTCAGGTTTAACTGGAATCAAAGCACCAGTGTCAGAAGCAGAATGAAGCCAAATGAGCCAGCCAGGAATTTATCCTGCCAGATGTTACCATTACCTTTCCTTTTGCAGTGTCTTCAGGATGCTCCAACTGTCTGAAACCCAGATGCACGAATAGTTACTTACACCAGTGTCACCTGATGTCACTGGATAAGCTGTACTGAAAACAAAACCAGGCTGAGGGATCTTGTGTTGGTCTGGAGCTCTTCCTGTCTGATGCCTCCTCTTCTGGACAGACTATCAGCAATATTTGCTGTGTTTGTATTTTTGGCAGAAAATTCAGTTTTCCTAAGAGATAGTAACCCAAGTAAAGAGAATTCCAAAGAAGTGGACTCAGAGGCAAACCCAGCAAGTTTTAATGAAAATTATCAGGAAGCCAAAGTTTCAATAAGATTTTTAGTGAACATAAAAGCACACTGTGAAGTAAGTCTCAGCAAGATTAGTGCAACGCTTGCAAAAGTAAAGCTGTGCAGGTAATGTGACAATCAAACAAGCATGGTCCTGAAATCCTTGAGCAAGCAAATGCTTAATTTCAGCTCTGGGACATTGATACTTAAATATGAAGTATAAACTGTAATGCATTTGGCAGGAGGGAATGTCAGGAATTAGTATCTCCAAAGCACAGGAAGTGTTCATACATTGCGCACACAGTAGAAGCCAATTGCCTTGAGTGAGGTTTCAAATAAATAATATTTAGAAATGGAAATTGCACAATATATTGCTACGCTTTCTAACTCCTCACTCACAATTACCTTCAGAAACTTGCAAAATTCACAAGCTGTAATAAGACTAGAAACTGGGAGCATTAAGGTTGGACTTGAGGTGGCACAAGGAGTGAGAAGAAAAACTGTAAGGGACCTTAATATCCAAAATAAAAATGGAAAAAGCAACATAACTGAGACTGGCATCCCTGATCCTAATTGCTGCAAGAATTTTCTTGCAGAGAGATTGCCTAAAGAAGAGTAACTTGATGTTCTCTGCATGAATTACTGGGAACTGCATGATACTTCTATGTGAGGAATAGTTGGATGAATTTTTCAAAATGCAGGAAAATGCAAAGGACCTGAGATCATCTCCATAATTTCTGTATAACAACTTTGAGGATGCACACAAAATCCCTCAAAGGGTTAAGAAAATCAACAGGAAAAGACAAGTAAAAATATGTTAGAGGATATATTCTAAAGCCTAACAGAAAAAAACAGGTTTCTGTTTTCACAAAAGAGGCTGAAATCAATATTCTGACATTAGAATTCCTCTTCGTAGGCCAGCAGCACTGTGCTATTGCTGCTAGTGAGTAAGTGAGGATGTACAGGCTGTGGGGTAAAAATAGAAGTTCAAAGTCCATAAATACCATCTTTTCAGAAACATCTAAGAGAAGCACCAGGAAAATATGGCAAAAAACTGTAAAATGCAATGCTGATGTCATGAGCTGGAGCAGTCTATCATCTCAATCTCTTGTCAGTAGTTTCTTCACAGCATTACTAATGACTGCCAGGGAAAACCACAATGCCAAGGCAGTGCTGGCAGAGCACTTTCAAGTTAAGCTAAATAAACAAGCTCAATAAGACACTCCCATAAAGTCTGACAGAAATTAAGCACCCGAAAATGTATGTCATAACAGTTTGTCACAAAAAATACACTGAAGTTAAAATCCAGGAGAGTTGCAATTAAAGAGTGAATGTCTGAGAAAACACTGAAAACTTGTACTGGCCACAGGTAAAAATTATTTTTATTGACATAGGAATAGGGAAAAGCCAATAGAACAAGGAAAAATAGATATTTAGACACCAAAACAAAAACGCTTCAAAGTTTACATTAATTAGCAAAACTCACATATTAAAAAGCTCTAGGGTGTTGCTGTACATGGGATAAAGGAAATGTTAGAGACAAAATTAGAGCAACACCATTAGCTGATTGCTCATGTTTTTTCATCCCAAGAATGCCCAAAGAAAGCATTTTGTGCTGAAATGTATTCATTATAGACTCTTAAAATATCAGAATAGAGAAAACAATCTCTATCACAAAACAAATGAAAGTTACTTGGTTGGGTTTTTTTGCAATTTGAAAATATTGCAAACCTGGTTGATAAAGCAATAGCATTGAAATTACATTACTGATAATGGTTTTTTGATTACTTTAAACCATTAATTTAAGAAAATCTAAAAATATTGTTTACAAAGCTTGCAAATTTCATGACTGAGAGAACAGTGAAACTCAGGAAGGCAGATCACTGACAGAGGTGGCAACCATTGCATCAGCTGCAGTGCAGTGAGTGGTAAAGCCACACACCATGAAGTAGTTTGTCCCAAGGAAAGTCAGAAGACAGAGAGTTAGATACAATCTCCTGGAGCTCTGCACCGAGAAGTGCAGAAGTCTTGGCATCAAACCTGCCTCATCTACAAACTGGCCAAGGCTTCATGAGGGCTGTAGTCAATCTTGTTGAGTGAAGGAGTAAAAGAGGATTTGGAGGATGTGTACCTTGGTGTGCCTGACCAAGAGACCATAAGCATGTCCAGACACACCAGGGACAGACAAACTCTGAGACAGAACCATGGGCATCTTCCAGGTTAAAGATATTGACCTCAAAATAGCCCCAAATACAGAGCATGGCTCTGAGGATGGTGTTACCCTTCCACTCGAGTCCGAGCAGTCTGAAATGACCTGGTCAATCTGATTTTGTGTTCAGAATAGACATAGTGAGGAGACAGTCATTGTCAACTGAAAGCACCAGCTCCAGGGACTGATTCAACATAGTTACATCTTTTCTGCACAAAAAATGAGAAGATATTTGAAATAGATCTTGGTTTTCTTAGGATAGCTAGATCCAGCTTACTCAGCAGGGAACACTGCAGATGAGGTTTTCACTCTTGCCATGTTCTTCACTGGGTTGGCTGCAGATTGTAAGCTTGGCCATTATGTGCCCAGGAGAACATCGACAGGAACATTGCCCTAAGACCCAAACAACAAAGCATTGAGAAACCCACAATTCCAGAAAAGTCATCCGCAAGAGAAAGCTCAGAGGGAATAAGCACATGGAGAATAAACACAGTTTTAAAGGGATGCAGGTGTATGTACCAGTGGTTGCAAAATGAGAAGCAGCTTTTAAAATAGGAGAAGCCTTGGGGACAAAGAAAGGCTGAGAAGGTTGCAGTAATGTACAACAGTGAACAAACAAGGTAATAGATAAAGACTGAAAGACCAATATGACCCCC